GCGGCAACACTTGTATGAACACCACCCGCACCCACTTCGCCATACGGTGGGTGACGGGCGAGCGAAAGTTCACGTTCAACACGGCGATCGTCACCACCACGGACAGGGTGACCAGTACCATCGTGAACAGCAGGTACTTGCCGAGCAACGGCACCGTTAACGACGTGGGCGGTATGATCTCGGCCAACAGTAGGAAGAACACCGTCAACGACAGCAATATCGAAATCGACAGCGAGACCTTCTCGCCGCTGTCGCTCGGCAGGTAAAACACCAACACCGAGAGGAAAGATATGCCCACGCACGGTACGATCAGGTTCACCGTGTAGAAGAGGGTCTTGCGGCGCAGGGTGATATTGAACACGATATCGGGGTAGGGCTCCTCGCAGCATATGTAGAACGCCTCGTTCCTCACGGCAGGCACTTTTATGATGTCCCACTCGACGGAAATGTAATAGTCGGTCAGGTCGATCCCGACGTCGATGCGGTTCGAGTCTTCGGTCTGGGCCAGGTGTCGTAAGTCGACCTGCGAACAACATGTCCCATCGTCAATTCCTTTAGGAATTTTAGGCCAGAGGTATGACAGGTTGACTGATTAAAATTATCTAAGAATTCCGTAGATTTATTGTTTAATCCTATTATTTATTGTCAGATCATTGACACAATAATTTCAAGCAAGTATAATTATATAATACTTCTTAAATTAAAACCTCTGGAAGGTGAATTTCTGAGATCACGTGAGTGACCCAATCGAAACGTGAAATTCTTATTAGAATCAAACGTTTAGATAATTAATTGTTTATCGCGTCTCATAAATATTCGAGCTATGTTTCTCGAAATTTTATACTCTAAATTGGCTTGAATTCTCATTAAATGATTTAAAAACGACAAGTTTTATTATTTCGTTTATAAGCTTTAAATATTTTTATGGTTTCTTCGTAGAGCAGATTCTCGATCAACGCAAAATGGATCATGTATACTAAAATGAACTCACATAAATTTCGGCAAAAATATTGTCAATTATACTGTCGAAAGTATACGCAAGATTTCGACGCAATTTATTAGATTTATGGATATGTTCATTTCTGATAGAAATTTTTCCATAAGCGATTCGGTTTTTCAGAATTTCAATCAATGAAAGCTGTTGCCATTAAAATTCCATAGAAAGAAATAAACAATTGTAAAAAAAAAAAAAAAATACAGAATTAATCGATAATAGGTAATTTTTTATTTTTATCATCGAATTTTTATCACGAGCAAGAAATGCATTATAAGCTAACCTAATATTTGCAAAGTTATAAATGATATATAATAATAAAATTATAAATCAAAGGAGATTTTACTTCTTATTGAAGCTATCATATTATGATACGACTAAATTTATTTTCAGATGTTATACGATAAAATTGATAAAAGTGTTCACATACTTGGAAGCGGCAATTCAACTTTGAAAAATAATTAAGTTTAATTGAGTCTCTGTCGACTTCTCTGTCATTTCTATACACGTAAGCTAAATTACGATTATATCATAACAAACATGAATGAAATAACAGTCAATAAAAATAGTAATTAAAATAGTCACGTTAAGATGTTATGTATCACATTCTGATTTTACCAAATAAACATCTCCTAATTCATTTTGTATATTAATTTACTTATACCATTGTACAATTAGATCTCGAGATTATTCTTTATTAATTTAAAGAAAAATTAGAAACCCACGAACACATTACAACTCGCGTTGCACGGTAACGCGGAACGAAATGCGAGAAAAGAAAAGAAAAGAAAAGAAAAGAAAAGAAA